CCCCATAGCTAGCAATCCAAAACAGTCCAGTAGCACCTTTAAGACCAAGTTTTATTCAGGTACGAGCTCTCTGTCCTCTGCAAGGGCAGATCTGCACGTCCCCCCCCCCCAATAGCTAGCAATCCAAAACAGTCCAGTGGAGCCTGAGCGGTGGGTGTTGCCTTCTGACACGCTTCCGGTGATGTCAGGGGGTGTGGCTTATGCAAATAAGTTATGCTAATGAGCTCCTGCACCTCTCTTTCTACGAAATGATCCCTGCTAACAACATTAGTTACCTTAAAAGCAAATACATATATAAAAGTCTCTAAATGGACCAAAAAAAACATTTAACCCTCCCCCCTCATCTCGCACTACAAAACCAACCCCCTTGGTCCATTTCAGGGAGAGCCACACATGTTCGCACCCACATACATGAAGCTCTCTCATACTGACTCAGGCCCAATCTGCATCTAGCATTTGCTCCGCTGTCCTACCAAAGCCAGGCTGGAACAGAAATCCCCTTCTGCATTGCATGCCACTTTCACTTGGATTGACTGTCGGCTTTTATGGCAGTGTCCAGAGTGCATGCTGCTTTCGCTTCTGATCTCTCGGTTTTATGGTCGCTGTCTGCATAGATTTATGGCTGTTTCATGGCCATTCAGGGGGGACTCTGCAGTCAGTACAGCGTTGGCCCCGGGGTATTGGAATGTGGTTTTGAGCCGCATCTTTTTTCCGTTCCAGTGTGGGTTTGGTAAAACAGCGGAGCAGATGCTCGATGCAGATGGGGCCTTAGACCCGTCATCCACCAAGGCGAGTCATTGTCTACTCAGACCAGTGGCAGCTCTCTGGGATCGCAGGCTGAGGTCTTTCTCATAACCTCCTATCTGATCCCTTTTTAAGCTGTTGATACCGGGGATTGAACCTGGGACTTTCTGCATGCTGAGCAGAGACTCTCCCACTGAGCCATAGTCCCTCCCCACAAGTTGGGGGGTGCCATCCCAAACCTAGTAGATTTGAGTCCAGTAGCAACTTAGAGATCTAACAAGATTTTGGGAGTATGAACTCTCAAGAGTCAAAACTCCCTGTGCCAGACACCTAGACCCAGTGACAGATCCCTAGAGCTAGACCTGAAGGACCTCGTGACACCTTTCGGAGTCTTTTGCAGTCAGTGGGCTTAGAAGGGTGTCACTCTACTCGGGGATCACAGTGTGAGGCCGGAGGACGGCTTCAAACTTTGCTTAGTAGGATACAAACCATTGTTACCAGGACTGCTTGGTTATTACTGGGATGCAGGGGTCATTTCCTGCCGGAGCGCACAGGAGCGGAGCTCCGGCAGTAAAGAGCCCAGGGGGCGGGCACATCCAACAAGCCCCACCCCCTGCTCCCAGCAGCCCTCAGTCAGAGCAAGAAACAGCCAGGTAAATTGCAGAGCCCTCCCCCCCCAGCCCCCGGTCCAAAACAGTCCAGTGGCACCTTTAAGACCAAGTTTTATTCAGGCACAAGCTCTCCCTCCTCTGCGAGGGACAGATCTGCACGTTTCCCCCCCCCCCAATAGCTAGCAATCCAAAACAGTCCAGTGGAGCCTTCTGACACACTTCCGGTTATGTCAGGGGGTGTGGCACATGCAAATAAGTTATGCTAATGAATTATGCTAATGAGCTCCTGCACCTCTTTTTCTATGAAATGACCCCTGCTGGGATGTACCCCACCACTGCACTCAACTAAGGCTGTGATCACGCACACTAAATAATCCACTTTCAATGCACCTTCTAACTGGATTTTGCCAGTTCACACAGTAAAAATCCAGTTGGAAAGTGCATTGAAAGTGGATTGAAGATGGATTATTTAGTGTGCGTGACCGCAGCCCAAATGTTGAGCCTTCCTCTGTTCCATGGAGCCATCTGTTCGCCTGCATTATTTCCAGGCTAAACCTGTGTTTGCGAGAGGGATCTTTTGAATGTTACTCTCTGGGAACGACGCTTCCAGGAATCACTGCTCACTTCTTCGGGTATCTGAAGAAGTGAGCCGTGACTCACGAGAGCTCCTCCCCTGCCACAGATTTTGTTAGCCTTTAAGACTAAGGAGCTGCGGTGGCTCAAGTGGTTAAGATGCTGAACTGCAGGCTGTGGAAGGTCGGTAGTTCAGCAGTTCGAGACCCGAGTGTGCCGCATGACGGAGTGAGCTCCCGTCTCTAGTTCCAGCTCCTGCCAACCTAGCAGTTCGAAAGCAAGAAATTGCAAGTAGATAAATAGGTACCACTTCGGTGGGAAGGGAACAGCGTTCCGTGCGCCTTGGTGTTTAGTCATGCTGGCCACATGACCACGGAAACGTCTTCGGACAGCTCTGGATGGAGTGAGCTCCCATCTCTAGTTCCAGCGCTGGCTCTTCAGCTTTGAAACGGAGATGAGCACTGCAACCCTAGAGTCGGATTCGACTGGCTTTCGAGCAAGGGAACCTTTACCTTTACCTTTAAGATGCTCCTGGACTCTTGCTCTTTTCTGCTGCTACAGGCAGAGTAACACAGCTACCCATCTTGATCTGCTTCCAGGAGAAGAAAGAACTTGGACACCAGGTTCATACATTTTATGGGATGTTATTAATACATCAACTCTAACAAGGAGTTTCTCTTTTCTTCACTTTTGGAATTCCCAGACCCTACCCCAACACAGGAAGATACATTGAG